GACCTGGATAACGACCATTTGCTCAGTAAATTAGGTTCTTTCATAGGTACGGCTACAGCCTTAGTTTAGTTAACTTGATAATAATATTTGACTTCCTACCTGATATTAATCCCCTGCTTGTAGATTTTACAAGCATCAGATGGCAGCATCCGGGACAGCAAAGGCACTAACATACAGAAGAGAGTGTGAATAAATTCAACTGTGGCTGATGAAGAAAGTATTTCATAATCTAGGTTTTGCATTGCCTATAAAGAAACAATATTTATCTGTATCTACAATCCTTAATTAAGGCAACAGTTTAACCATCCTGCAACTTTAAAGAACTCAGCAAAGTGATTTTAAATTAAAGCTTCTCTTATACATTATCACGTTATTATGATGTTTGAGAATAGGGCACATAAACAGCGTTTTGTGTGTGAAATATGACAACTCACCCCAGCTCTGAAAGTCCCAATGCAGCTCCAGATAAAAGTCACCAAGCTACGGAAAAGACAAAAACACTAAAAATGATTCAACTGATACATTACAATTTCATGGGTCAGAAGAAAAGTACAGTACAGTGAAGATTTCACATTATGCATTTCAGCTATTAATATGCATTCTCAAGGACAGGCAAGAGTCGTTTATGCAAATGAAAGCCTGCAGACATGTTGAAAATACAGTAAAGTGTCAGCGACAGCCAGTGTGATTCTCACCTCCCTGAGAGCTTTCAGTAGTTTTGGCCTTTTATCCCCCACACTCTCCCTGGACTGCTGCTTTAACTTCCGCAGTATTGCTGTGACTGAGGATGAGAAAGAACTCAGTTACTAGTTACACACAATATACACCTAAACACATATTAAATCTTAACCTTCCAGTTACATACAAGACACCGGTCTAACCGTTTGTCTGCACCAGGGTTTGTGAGATATACAGTTAAGCACAACTAACAATCATTTTCATTATCCATTAATCTGCCATTATTTTTTTAGATTCATCGATTTGTCTATAAAATGTCCAGCAATAGTCCAAAAACCCTAAAATATTTAGTCTTCAAATTAAATAAGAAATGCAGCAAATCCTCACATTGGAGAAGCTGGCACCAAACATTTATGCTTTAAAATGACTTTTCACTCAGTTACCAAAATAGTTTTAGCTGATTCTTTCTGATCGATTCAATGTTGCAGCTCTAGTAAGTGCTCAGTCAGATTTTGCTGCTACTGCATCATTACCCTGCTGCAACTATAACTCCTTTAAAAGAAGTATGATTTTTCATACATATATTTTCATTAGATCAGCTAAAGTCATTGTCTCGCGCAGTGCAGCTCTCTCTCTCGGTCACAAACTGACCAGCAACCACTGAATAATACCGGATGGACCTCAGACGTATCCTGGTTATCTTGACCAGGGGGAAACACTGGACTGAGAGCGGACGTGACCGAGGCACAAACTGCTGATGAGGCACTTGCTGCCCTCAGGCAGCTCATCATTGCACACACAGACAACCAGGGAGCGAGCTGCTGACGCAATGTGCACATGTGTAAAAGTGAAAGGTGATGACAGATGACAAGACTGCAGTGTTTCATGAAAAGCTGTAACCCGCACACATTATTCTCCATTTGTCTCACTCCGATAGCCAGCTGTGTGCTGCATGTTATTAAACCTAAAATCGAAATCTAAATAATGCAGTGCTTTTCTTTGCATGTCCTTGTCCATGTCCTGATGCTGTGAATGTACCCAGCCCCCTCCCTGCCTCCCCTTCACCCTTAAGAATGACGTGACCTTCTCAAAGCAAAACTCCTGGTCCCAGTCCCAAGCCAGCCTGCCACAGCCGGCACGGAGAGTCGGGGCGCATACTAACAAGGTTGAGGGTCATTTCTCAAACTACCGAGCCTCACAGGCTGTGTAAGAACAGGATGCTGCTAATTCACTGTCAGCTTATCTACACAGCGCTAACATCAATGTGTCACCTTGGCTTTGTCACAAAAACAGAGAGAAATTATTTAGTATATAGACCCTTTACCAAACACTTAGCCCGGCCATTATTTTTTCTTTTATCTTTAGTCAAGTGTGCAAAATTAACACCACATCTACAAAAAAGGACAGAGCACTGAATTCATCCCAAAGGCATTAGCTGGTGCCTTTCACGTGTCATTTGACTCTTTTTCACTGGATGTCAGATCTGAAAGCAGTTGCATCAATAAGCAGAGGAGTGACCGGAGCTCAGGGCTTCCTAACACTAAGTCCTCATTCAGGCTACGTTCCAACCCATCTGGATGACGAGTGCTCAGAGAAAATCTCCACCTCTAGCTTTTAGCTGGACCGACCAGACAGCAGCCGCCTTTAAACAATTAAATGACTCATAAAAAGGTTCCTCAAACACTCACACCACCGACAGTATTTAGCCCCCTTTGCCTGGTCCCCACAATTTGTAAAGAATGAAAAAGGATTAAATTTTAATTTCTCAGTGACGTAGACATTATTAACCTTAATACTGTAGTACTGTTTAGGATTTATCGGTTGATATGAAAAACTAAAATGCTCTTTATTATGCCATTTTGAGATTTTCTCTGCAAGGTCACTTGGTTCCAGCTGTGGGCAATACAACAGATTTTGTCCCACATATGACAGCAGAAACTCTGGGTTAATTGTAAAAAAAAAACTCAGAGAAGCAAAGCTTGTACAGAGGTATCCAAGAAGTCTCTAAACAGTATACACCTCGAGGAAATGTTTCTGCAAAGCAAATACTCTGGAGATTTTGTATTGTATTACATTAACTATGAGAAAAAATGAAACCACAACTTCCCTTTTTCATTAGGAGAACATCATATCAGTCAGTGTATCAGTGTTGGCAATACAAAGAAGCAGAGCAAGTCAACCAAATATGATACTTCCTGAACAGACTACAACCATCAAGCTGACATTTACCAACACTGCTACAATATTAGCATTCATGCAGAAAGTCATTCCAGATGTCAGACTGACTGTCTAACCGACAAATGGTGACTAAAGCAAACATCATGAAGCTGTTATAAATCCATACAGCCGTCAGACAGGCAGCACTCAACCTAAATGTTGTAACGACAAGTGTATGATTGCAGGTACGCCACTGAGAGTTCCATAAACACATGCAAATATGAAAACCCCGGGACAGCAGACAGCTATTCAGAGCAGTGCAGACACTTACTCATTTGCCTGTCGCCGTAGCTGATGGCTTCTGCTAGAGGGCTCCATCCCTGTGCGTTCTTTATCTTTACAGGAGCGTTATGGGCCAGAAGCAGGAGGGCACACTCTGAAAGAAAAACACAAAAACTTATCATTAAGGACAAATTTGATTATGTCTATATAATAGTCAATTCTGTATATTGTCATCACTTTTCTTGCAGCCATTCCAAACATAACTGTGTAACAGAGTCTAGATAATTCATTTTTTAAATATATATATATATTTAAGTTATATCTTTATTTTAAGACTACTGATCTGAACTGAGATTTTGAATAGAGGGTGCTGTGTGTTTTACAGATTGTTAAGCCCTGTGAGGCAAATTTTGGGCTATATGTATAACCGAACTGACTATTCTGCTTTGCAAACCCAAGTATAAATGTCCTTATGAATTAGCCGCTACTATATAATACCCACTGTATGTTATCCCAGCACGGCAGAGGTCAGATAAGACATGATGAGTGCAGCAAGAAAAAAAAAGCAAAGAGAACTGAGTTGCTTTTAAAAAAGGGCTTTTAATGAGGATGCCGATTACTCTCTCCAATAAAGCCACATTATGGCAGATGCACGACCATCACAGCACATCAGATTTAGTGTAATTTAATTTCCTGGGCTCAAAACAAGGCTGGTAGATAACCCTCTGAGAAGCTTTTTGTTCATTTTGGTTAATCCCATGTATGCCAATAAGCTGCTAAAATAAAACGAGTTGAACACATTTTATGAGCTTTACCTTTGTGGCCCAGCATCACAGCCAGGTGAAGGGGCGTGTTTCCTGAAAGAGAGACATATTTGATGATCTCCTGAGTACACGCAAAAATGAACATCAATAATTCAAACCTGATCAAAGATACCTATAAACGCCATGCATTTGAACTGTTAAGGTAATAGCACAAAGCTTACCATGCACGTCTTTCTGGGAGATGCTATGGGTCCTGATGAGAGAGGAGAGCCGGCGCACATCTGCCTTGAACACACACTCGTGAACGGGGAACTCCAGGTCCTCACTGGTCAGGATAATCGGGTTCTTGTTGTTATCATTGACCACTGTGCCAATTGATGATGAATTCCCGTTGATGTTGTTCGCATTGAGCTGCTGTTGCTGCTTCTGAAAAGCCTTGTTGGATTTAAAATGGTTACTGGTTCCGTTAGGGATAGTCCCGTTTGGGGTTTCATCGTACGTGTCCATTATCTCTTCATTTTTGTTCGGTTTGTTGTGGTCCTTTCGCATGGTGCGTATCTTCTCACCTGTCATGATGACTACCGTACGTTACCAGGCTAACGTTAACTGAAGATGTGGCAAAAAAATAAATTAAATTAAATTAAAATCTGGTAGCGGATGAACACAATTCGCCAATATGATTTTCAAATGAGCTTTTTTTGGCTATTAAAGCCAGCAGCGACGCGTTGTCTCGCAGCTGGTTGCTCTCTGATGTTCACAATAACGTTACACCTGCTGTTAGCTCCCAGCAGAAACCTTAGCTAGCTAGCCCCACAATAAAAAAATAAAATAAATGAATACGGAGGGTGCGGCGATGAAAACACAAAATAATACTACACACAACAACACACACACACGCACTAAATCAACACACGTCTAAGAATAAGCCCGGAGATGAGACGACTACATCGTTGGCCCTTCTGCTGCTTCCTAGGTAAACCTTTCAGAGCGGGAGCGGTTCGGTTGCTTTGCGGTAAAGATTCATGCGGGCTGGGACCGCACAATGAGCCAGCTCAGCTAACGTCTTGGCTTAAATCTCGCGATACTATTCCGCAAACCGACTCAACGCGAGTTCGCGCTTTACGTCATTTATACGAGACGCAGCTTCACTCCATCGCAGGCAAACAAGCTGCGTTGTTTTGAAGAATGGCGACCTCTAAGAAGGGGAAGAAAGTTGTAAATCAGGAGGAACTTCGGCGCTTGATGAGAGAGAAACAAAGGCAAACAACGGACAAGAAGCGCGTCGAGTCTCCTTTCGCTAAATACAACAGTCTGGGTCATCTCAGCTGCGTCCTGTGCAATGTGCAGGTGAAGTCGGAACTGCTGTGGCCAGCTCATGTTCTGGGGAAGCAGCACAAAGAGAAAGTTGCAGAGCTGAAGGAAGCGAAGAGTCAACCGGTAACACCGCAGAGTCAACCAGCAAAGAGGAAAGCTCCCGACAACGACGACGTAAACGGGAAAAAGGCGAAACCGTCCTCGGCTGCGGGCCAGTCTGCGTCAGGACTGCCGGGAGACTTCTTTGAGAAACCCGCCGAAAAGCAAGCTGTGCATGCTCAAAAGTCTGCGGGTCTGAGTCTGTTGGCTGGAGTTTATGATGAGGACGACGCTGATGCAGAAGATGCCGCAGAGGAAGGTCAGGCAGGGAGCACAAACCCCCCTCCTCAAAAGGGTGAAGCTGCAGGGCTGCCAAGTGATTTCTTTGACAGCTCCATCCCATCCACACCCGCCATCTCCCACTCAGGATCCATCCTCAAAGCAGAAGTGCAGGAGAAAAGCACAGAGAAGAAAGATAACACAGCCGAGGCACTGCCGGAGGGCTTCTTCGATGATCCCGTAAGAGATGCCAAAGTGCGCAAAGTCGACGCCCCCAAAGATCAGATGGACAAGGAGTGGGAAGAGTTTCAAAAGGAGATCCGACAGGTGAACACGAAATCAGAGGCCATCGTGGCGGAGGACGACGAGGAGGGTCGCCTTGAACGTCAGATTGATGAAATCGATGAACAAATTGAGTGCTACAAGAGGGTGGAGGTACTGAGAGACAAGCGGGATGTGGTGAAGAGCAAGCCTCTGCGCAGGAAGGATGAACATATGGAGACAGATGCCAGCCATGAGGAGGAGGAGGAGGAAGAGGAGGATGAAGAAGAGCTGCTGGGGCTTTTGTCCCGGGACTGGAGGGCTAAAGGGGCTCTGGCCTAAGTTTCTGTAAAGCTCATCATATCAGTGAGAAAGAAGCCATGTGTGACTGACCTGAGTTTTGTCCAGAATGCTGATATAAACAGGTCTAAAGAGGAGGATTGTTTTTGTCTGTCAGCAACTGTAAATATGTTTTGTCTTTACCACATCATTTGTATATTTCAGACAGGTTTAAATGTGATGCAACGGTGAAAAAACATTGGAAGATAAAGTTTCTCAGTTCATGACTTAAAACACCAGATGGACCACAAATCAAACCTTTTTAATTGTGTGTTTTATTCATTGGTGCTCACACAAAAACACATTCATAAAATCCCCCATGTACAGTAGCAGCATGGATCAAAAATCTATGTCATGATGGCCAAAGCTGTTACATTTCGAGCTCAACTAACAAATTGTCCTGCAAAAACAAGTAGTCGACTATGTTAGGTTTATAAATAATCGGTTCATGTTACATTATAAGCAACATGCAAAGCACAACAGATTTTTTAAAAAATGTACAAGGTTGAGAGTAAGACCGTAAAGTAAATTTTACCAACCCGACCCTTCACGAGATAATTTGTTTTGAATACATTTTTACATAATACAGCAATATTTGAGTATGACAAATCTGTTATGTAAATACACCGTTATTAGGCCCATAAAAATGGAATAAAATGAATCAAGTAAAGAGTGATGTCAGTGCTTCTTATACTACCTGTTACACATTGTGAGCTAGGTGTGCCTTCTGTCTACTGCATCTTTTACCAAGCAATATCTATGTCATTTTGTTATTGCTACATATGCCTCACGAGTTACCACTTCAAAATTCTTTCTGAATGATTCAAAGTGTTCATAGCCCTTCGGAACTTGTAGAACTGAAAACCGCAAAAATACAGATTAATGTACAGATGGACTAAACACACGACTCCAATCAAAACGTAGCAACTAACTGAAGATAAATGAGGGGAAGAAAACAGTGAACAGAAAAAAAAAAATCTGAAACTTGTTTATCTTAGGAAAGAGCACACATTAAGTCCTCACTCTAATGCTCCCATTGCTTGCTCTTAAGTTAGGAATTCATCTAAAAACTCACAAAAAATGTTTCTAGTAGTCATTTGTAAACATTCATAAAATTCTATCTCAGGTCCTGTAAATAAGGTTCAGGTGAGTTGTACCAGGTGTTTGTGTTAATGGTTGGGGACATCTGCAATGGACTAACAATTACAGCCTCTGGAGAAGCTAAATACACACACACACACATAAAAAGTTACATCAAGAGGAGACAAATTGGTTGGAAAAAAACTAAACCAAACAAAAACACAGGTGCAGGAAACCAGCAAGTCAGAGAATTGAAGGTGGGAAACAGGATTCAAAATAATTCACAACACCTATTTCCACGGTTTATTTCACATTAACCATGGAATTCGCTAAAATAAGAGCTGAATATTCTGCATACAGGTACTCATGTAGATTAACTTTAAAATTTAAGCTCATGTTTTGTGAAAGAGGTTGTGTTGAAATGGGCAGGGGAAGGGGGGAGTGAGTAGGGGGCATGCCAGCGCCATTGTTCCACAATCAGTATGATAAATATTCAGTTCACAAAAAGTGCAGCAATTACTGAAAAGGGTCGGGATGTCCGAACCCCCAGACCCCGCTGGGTATTCAATACTGTTCACTGCTGTCAGTGATAATGTGCTCACAAACCTACAGCAGCTCTCAGCTCCATCAGGGAGTACCTCTGGTCCCTGTCATTGTCAAAACACTCCATGGTACGAGCACTGGGAGTGGATGTTCCAAATACTTTACTCAGGCCATGGTAGGTCAATCCAAGTGAATTACGTCCAATCTCGGCCTGCTGGAAGATGTCTTCCAAGTCTGTGAAAAGCATAGTTTTATTCAGAAACATTCAAGTTTGTCTATGAGGGCAAAACTTAAAATATCCATACTATTGACAATACAGTTTGGAGCCTTTAAAGAAATAGTTCAGCATTTTTTAAAATACACTTATTCGCTTTCTTGCAGATAAATTGATACCACGCTCATGTCTGTTGAATATGAAGCTACAGCTTAGCTGCTGTTTTAAGATTTATAGTTGTACGTAGGCTCTGTGTCGAGCCTACGCAAGTGACCTTCGCCGTTATGAGGATTTATACTTGCTCTGCAAATAACACCACCAAAACGCCAGTTGGCGGTGGGGTTTCTATGCCACTGTGTTGAGTTTCGTTGTCTACTTCAAACAATGGCGACTGAAACTCTCCCATGTCTCTCCTCAATCTTTCATGTGCTTTCCTTGTTTCCTGAAGACCGACAATAGCATGTCATGCAGCAAGGCAGCGTCCCCGTGTGCCTGTTTGTCTGTGTGAGGACACACTTGCAGAGGGATTCTCAAACAGCATTATTAACTCATCCGGGTTTTTGCCTGAGTCGCCTCTCATTCTCAGACAATGCACACACACTAAGCGGAGCGATCACAATTGTAGCCGCAAAGCGTAGTTACATTCCTGGAGACTGGAAATGGAGCAAACATCTAGCCTTTAAACATCTAATTTATCAGTACAAGAGATGAAATTTACAAACGCTGCTTTTTTGTGCCAAGTATTTCTTGGCTTGGATCAGTAACTCTCGTCGTCACTGTGCAACCAGTGGAGACTTCATATATTATAGCCAAATATTTACTGAACAGGCATTAGAGCGGTTCAGATCTTGATAAGAAAGCAAATGTGTGTATTTTCTCAAACTGTTCCTTTAATGAATGCTGAGATATACAACTCTGGAGAAGTAGTAAAGCACCTTTCAGAGAACGGACACCAGGCAGGATCACACTCTTTGGGCATCCTGTCCCTGCATTTCTCTTAATGCGGTTTGGAGTTAAGAAGCGTGGACGTCTGCTTGTCTGAGGCTCTGTCAGTGGTGTGGATATCTCTGTGATAATAAAGGAGAAAAAAACATTAAAACGTAACACAAGGCAAATAAAACCACTGTAGTAATACTGCTTTATCCTACACTGTACCTAGTATATCCCCAGGTGTTGTTTTGGTTGTAGTAGCTTCGTTCACCCCCTCAGTTACAGGACTTTTACTGGTGGTTGGCAGTTGAGCTGCTGCGTCATTGTCCTTTGACTGTGAAGCAGATTAAAGATGAAATGTAAAATGGATTAAGCTGTCTTTTACTCTTTAGGCCACAGATTCCCAACTAGGGTACTTCTGCAGTTGCTCTGGGATACGTGGAAGGATTGTAGAGTAGCTCAACTCATTTGAATAAAAAAAAATCCCATTCAGCATGAAAACAAGGTAGCATGCAGAGATGTTGAAACTAGTTAGTTTAATAGCTAAAGGTAATGGAGAATGGTTGAAATAGATGTTAAAAAAGAACCTGATCACAATTGCGCAAAGGCTGAACTTTTACAAAGCAGAAGTGTGGTGCTTCATATGACTCACACTTTGCTTTGATCCGTTCTCTAATGACGACACTCTCTGCTGAAGATCTGCAACTGTAGAAAGGAGGACGTGGATCTGCTCATCCGCCTGTGTATGGTGCAGCTCCTCTGTCTTGTTTGCCTCACTCACAGCTTTTCTCAGGTCTGTTATGTCCTATGACAAAAAAAAGAAAAGAAATCAATGTAAACAATCTTGCAAAACTGCTGTTTTATGAGATTTCAACACATTTGTAAGAGCTGTGTGCACCCAGTTTCTCACACAAAAGCAGCACATAAAGAAAATCAATTGTGAGTTAAATGAATAGAGGTTTATATGTGCAATCAGGTCCTGTCAGATCAGTCTCCTGGGAGGTTAAGCAGGTAGACTTGAGACCTACAGTACCAGCCAATCAGAACTGCTGCCACCAGCTGGATGGATATAACCATTAACTCCATTCAAATAAGCAAAGGCCTGTCATGGACCAGCTGGCAATTGCAGCTGGTTGCATCTGTACCTCAAAATCCAAAGACTATGGAGATCTAAGCCAGCTCGCAATACATCAATGACCATATAATTATTGAGGTCACTGCATAAAAACAAATATGTAAAAGTGTGATTATTTTCTTATCATCATTTGCCATCCTATTCTGCTTTAAAAAAATAAAGTGGGGAAAAAATATTCTGCAGTTGTCTTTGACCTAGTTTTACTCAGCAAACTAAAGCATCTAAGCTCCCAAAATAGATTGGCACTTGTATCATGTATTATGAATGAAAAGCCAACGCATGGCTCCAAGAAATGACAGGACCTTCTTAACCCAACGACTCTTTCAATGTAAGCCTGACAAGAACTGTGAAAACATCCATGCATGCTGGGTAAACAAATAAACAAATGAATCTGGCAGTGACAAAGTTCGCCACGGGTTCTTGTTTGAATTCGTGCCACAGTTAAGCAGATCAACCCGACGTTTCATCAACAGAATCATCTTGGCCGCGTGTAAGTAGATTTGCCTCAGTTCTGAGTGAGACAAATATACTAAGACACCACTGCAGCTAGGAACTGAGAGGGAGTATATTAGACACTGGCGCCGTGAAGTTATTCAACTAATTCACTTAAGCAAAATGTACTGTTAACAGATTTTAAGTAAACACGCTCTCCATACATTCATACATAAATAATGAATGAGAAAAGCAGCCGCCAGCAACATTTGCACTGACCGTAGAGATGTAAATAAAAAAAGACAAGCTGTCACACAAAATAAGTGAAATCCAACCTCGACTTTGACTCATGAAAAATCCATCGGCTTTGCTCAAGTGAAATACTAGAGCTTGTCGCCCTATGCTATTTACGAAGGGACACAGCTTCAAACTCTTCTGTGATGTTTGTCGGCTGCCCAAAACACTGTATCGACAGTTCAGTAGTTTAGCATACAGCTTGAAAAATCATTCTGAAAGGTAAGGCTTATTTTATCTGGCCTTGCAGAGTAACTGTTGTGTACTTTAACATTTTGTTTACACCAAGTTTGTGTACATTTACTTGTCTCAGAATGACTCAACAGTTGTGACTAGTGTTCAGTGTGATAAGTACTGTTTGCAGTGAAAGGCAGGATAGTCTATTAGAATAAAGATTAGAATTAAGCCAACAGACAAAAACACATATAAACAACGAAAGATCTAAACAAAAGAAGGAAAACTGAGACTTGTGCAAGCGAAAGCCTAAACAATGATCTCAAAGTAAGCATGAAGATTCCTATTTGGAGCGTTTAGGTTTGCACGGCCAGATATCCAATTCAATCTGAACATGTTATCATACCAACTGTCAAAATAAGAAAGTATTTCAAATGTTACTGGCTTGAAGTTACCATTGTCTGCTTCAAGTCGTCATCTTTCTTCTGATTTTCAAGAGCAGCCTGGATAGTCTTCACATCGTGCTGCACACTCGTTAGTGTGCTGCCAATTGTAGCAACACTCTAGAAAAGATAAACACTCTGAGAGGTTAGTTATGAACATAGTACAAAATAATAGAACATTAAAAGATTCTCAACCAAATTTCTCTTTTAAATACATTTTTCTTTGCCTTTACCTTTTGAAGCTCTTCAACTGTGTTGGGAAGGCTGATTAAATCAGCTGCTGATTTCAAGTTGGCCTTCAAATGGTTTACAGCAGAATCCAGCAAACTGATCTACAGGAGTAAAATGACACACCACCTTCAGTTATATGTCTAAGACAGAATTATTAATTTATTAAGTCACATTTTTTATTTATTTCAATTCTA